CTCTTCCCACAGGATTTGTCAGCCAAGGAACCAAGTCTGGGTGTTTTTTACAGCAGCTTTCAACTTCAGTCTGAGGAGGAGGTGCAGAGCTAGACTTTCATGCTTTAGATCCTTTCAGGAGAATAAGCAGTTCCCCTCCCATCTCCTACCAACGATTCTGCATCAAAATGGGTTAATTCCTGCTCAGTCCCCTGGCTCTTCACCCTCTGCCTGTAACTGCTCCACAATACCAGCATGGAAACAATACCTGCACTTAACATTTGCTTAGGGCCGTTTGATCCCTTTTTTTCCCCCCACTAACTTGAGTTCATAATAGATCAATATATATATTAAAAGATAAAAGACCAGACACATCCACTGCAGCTGTGAGAGCAGGCAAACAAAGGCAGCCTTCCAGGAGAAAAACCACAGCTCTTTGTCTGCCATGGAATAACCCAGCAAACTGCTGCCGTGCCCCAAAATCAATACTGGGAGAGGCACCCTCATGTTGTGATTGCCAATAAAAGGGCTTTGTTTTAATTAAGGAAAAAAAAACCCAAACTCAACCCAGGCCTTGCATGGTGAATGTTGTTAGAGGGCTGCTATCAACATGAGGAGACAAGGGCAGCATGAAGCTGGTGGACTGGGGGGGTCCAGTGCCACTGTGTTCCCCAGGGAGGGGTGCTGACACTCTCAGCACCTCCCCACGCCCCCATCTGGGGTGAAGACATAAGCAAAAGGATTAAAAAGGAGGGTGTGGGACATTTGGGGTCCCCACCTCATGCAGCCCCCTTGCTCTCCACCCCCTACCATGCTTGGGTGCAAAGCAGGAGGTGGCATCCATGGGGCTGTGCTCAGCCAGTCCTTCCTAAAATGGGAGAAGTCTGGATATTAACAAAAAAAAAATCATTTGAAGCTGTTTCAGCATTTTTGGGGGTTTGTCTAGAAACAGAAAGACCTCACGTGGGTTCTTCTGTTCTCTAGTACCTCAGTTTCCATTCTCTGTCCTTTTTCCCCATTTATTCAGGAATCACCTCTAGGCTCAGCAAGAGACCACTCCACCTGAAATGGGGCTTCTGCTGCAGAGTGAAAACTGTCAAAAATTTGTGCCCTCAAAATACCCTCGTTGCTGCGGGCTGAGAGAACAGGAGCCCTCTTGGCCCACGGGACTGCACTGCAAGGCCAAGAACTCAGCAAGCACCGTGCCTGCAGCCCAGCCCTGCAGCATCCCAAGGCTCTGCCTGCCTGGCAGAGCCCTGGTCCCACCCTGGAACCCAGCACAGGGTGAGCTGGTGCTTGGGAAGGTGGCAAAGTGGAGCAGAATCCCTCGTGACTGGGAGCATCCGGGGTCTGCAGCTCAAGGCAGCCTGGGAGCCAGCACACGAGATGACAACAGGTCACTTCAGAGCTGAAGGATGTCACATCTCCCTTCAGAACTTCACAAAGTTTCAGCTTGCCAACAGTAAAATCAACATAAAACCAAGTGTCTACTCACCAATCAGACTCTGAGGAACTCTGCTCAGGAGGGTGCTGCCCAGGTCTGGGTTAGGAGCAGGAGTCAGCCCTGTGCCTGGATCCATGCTGGTCTTCAGGGCTGGTGTCACAGCCCAGGGGTGGGCACTGAGCTCCCCACCAGAGCTCGGGTGCCTCTCCCTGCATGCCCCAGGCTCAGCTTGCAGGGCCCTGGACCTTCACAAGCCCTCGTGAATCCAGGCCTGAGTATTTGCCTTAAAAATACAAAGAAAAAAAAAGGAGGAAAAAAAAAAACACACCACGACAGCATTAGGGTAATTACAAGGAGGCTTTAACACATGTCTCAATTTGCATTAATTAAATCGACAGGGAAGCTTCAACTGAGCAAATGAGGCTTTTTTTTTCTCCTCAGCAGCAGCAAAGGCTGGAGCTGGAAACTCCAGTTTGCTGCATGCATGTGCAGTGGGCTGGGGAGGGATGTGCAGCTGGAAGGGGCTTCCCGGGAGGGAGGGAGGCACAAGGCAGGACGAGCTGGGGGTGGGGAAGATGAGGAGAAGAGTCTCAGCTCAGAGGTAGTGAGAGCCCCACGCTGGGTCTGTGCTGATGCTGTCGGATTTCAGTGGGAAGCTTTGAAGCCGAGGCCGGTGGAGAGTGGAGGTTGCTCTGTGGTGATAAGCTGTGGGTAAGAGGAATGTGCCCATTCATCCCCCAGCCCTGCTGCAAGTGCAGCTGTGAGGGGAATATAAATGGGCAGCGAGTTGCTTTTTTTTCATTTTTAAAGCCACGGGTGTGAATCTTAAAGCAGATCAGACACGTTGACGTGCCTGGCTGGAAGTGAGCCCTTTCCAACAGCCCCCCAGGGCAGGGCATGGCTGGGCTGCCAACCTGCAGGTGGGTGCCCTGGGTGCCAACCCCCCTGATGTAACAGAGTCGAGGGGTTCTGAGAAGCAAGATCCCTCTGTGGATAGAACACGAGGGGTTTATGGATATAAAACCCAGCTAGTTCACGTGCAGACCCAAATCTCAGCATTGTAACAACACAGCACCAAGAGCTGGTGCCAGCAGGCTGCTGTGGCAGATCACACACCAGGCTGACTCTTAATTCGTCCTTTATTTTTCCAGAAAACCTTCCAGCGTGGCACAGGCAAGCCTGGAGCAGCCTGGGCCACCCCAAACACTGGAGAGTTCTCCCCTCTGGTCACTGGCCCAGGTGAGTGGCCAGCAAGGATGCTCTGTCCCTGCCCATGGCTGGGCAACGCTGGCTCTGGCAGAGCTGTCCTGGACTCTTTCTTTCCAACCTCTCAGGCCTCACAGAGCAACCCAGGCAAGCTGGGAGGTGGAGAAATCACCTTCCTCGTGTGCCACACCAGGGATTTGTGCTGCATCTCCCATGCATGCTGCCTTCGGCCTCGAGGCTGGAGCATGGAAGTGGATCTGGAGGAGAGTGGATCAAGGGGAGCCTGATTGAAGGGATGGCTCCAGGCTGGATCTTAGAGCAGATGGAGAGAGTCAGTGAAGCAGGGAAAGGCTTGGAGAGGGCTCCTGCACCACCACATCCCACAGAGAGCAGAGAGGGGACCATGGAGCGGAGGAAAGGGGATGTCTGCCCTGCCCAAGTGACCCCAGGGCTTTTTTGGCCTCTTTCTTCTAGAAAGGTTTTCCTCCAGAGGCACAAAAACATTGGGATCATGGTCCCGGGCTCAGAGGCCATCTCTGGAGCAGGAAGCAAAGGGATGCAGGGCCAGGGATGCAGGGCCAGGCAGGACATCTTCTCAATTCCTCACCCCCCCAGCCCCTCAAGCACTGGGGACAGGGATAAGCAGCTCTCTGTGAACCAAAGGGTTAACGAACACCAGAGCCACCCTCCCAAAAGCCTTTACATAAGAGTCTTGCAGAATTTATAGCCTGCCTCAGCTGTGCCCTGCGACTGAGCTGCTCCCCTCGCTGCCAGCGCAGATCCCCGGCCGTGCTAATTCAGGGAGGAAAATGGGATTTGATTTCTGCACCAGTCACTGTCTCTCACGGTTAAAACGGGACCTGACGGGCTCTGTTCTTACCCCCCCCCTTGCCCACACAATTCATCAAACACATCGACCTTGAATGTCCCCCACACACCCTCAGCATCTCAGCAGAGCGGGCTCCAGGCTCCCTGGGTTGTCCCACCCTGGCCTGCTCCCGGGGCTGGAAATGGTGGGTTAGGGGTAAAACAATCTAAAATAAAATATCCAAAAGCCTCAAAAGCACCAGTCTTGTGGTCCTGTTCACATCAGTCCTTTGTGTCACCACAGCAGGGAGAAGACATTGAAAGATGTGCTCTCTGCTGCTGCACAGCACTGAGCCCAGGGCCGTCCCAGAGCATCCTCAGCCCTGGGGCTCAATGAGGGTCCTGGGGCCACCAGCAAGGTGAGGACGTGGCCCTCACGGTGACACAAACACCTCAGGCCCTGGGGCAGTGAGATGCTGCTTTTCCATTCCCTCGTTTTCCCCTTGGGAGAAGAGCTTTGCTGGCACCCATGTCACATGTTGCCATGGGGTGAGGACTAGCACGTGCCACCCAAACAGCCTCTCCTCCAGCCTCGGCACCCCAGCGGGTCCTGCCTCGGCGTGGCCCCGCCTGCAGCAGCTTGTCTGCGATGGCAGGAGGTGCAGCAAAGCCAGGGCTGTGGCTGCTGTCCCCCCCACGGCTGGGGGACAATGCAGGAGCAGATGGTAGGGCTGTGCCCTGCAGGGTTCCTCCCACCACAGTGCCAGTGAGGGCCCCGGGGAGGGTCTCCAGGGTAAATCTGTGCAGCTTCAGCCCTTCCTTGGGGTGGCTGAGGATCAGGCTGCCCCTTTAAAAAGTGCCCTTTGCTCCAGGACGTGCTGTAGGTGCTTCCAAAGTGCCTCTTCCCCAGCACCAGCCTGTGTCCATTTGCAGCAGCGTCGCTCCTCCTGCTGCAGGGCCAGGCTGGGCTGGTTCCTCCCATCCCCATCTCCTCAGCCCCATTTCACAGCTCCTGTGGTGCTCAGAGATACTTCCAGCCAGCGCCTTGCTTAACACCATCCTCCTTCTTTCTTCCCCCTGATTTTAGGCGTGGATCTGGCCAGCTCTCCATGATGATGAGATTTTCATTGCCTTCCTGCTTGGAGCCCTGATGCTGCATCTTCTTGCATTGGATCTTTTGGCCGTGGTTGAACTACCCCAACCCATGGTGAATGACCTCCCTGCCTGCTCCTGCCAGCAGATCCAGCCAGGCCCAGCGAGGGTTTGATGCCCACTTACCCCTGTGTGCAAGAAGGGTGTCACCTCGGGCCCAAGTGACAGCCAACTCAGCCTTTACCCCGGGGAATTTTATTCCCACAGCCCCCCAGCCCTCACTTCAGGCAGCACTTGAGCAGGGAGGGCTCTCCTGGCATCTTTACTGAGCACAGACGTCCTACAAACGTGGTCCCCAGGTTCTGCTCTCCTCATGGGTCCTCCTGCCCTCGTTGGCTCCCGCATGGCTCATTCTGGACATGAAGCAGCCCCTTTTTCAGGGCCTGGTTCCAGCAGGCAGCTTCAGGGCAGGCTACAGGCTGGGGCGGCTGAACGGCGCTTCTGGAACAACCGAGTCTCCGATGCCCTCCAGGAGCTGGTCCCACTGATCAAACCCCTCGTCCAGGCCTGCATGGGGCAGAGATGGTGATGGGGTTACTACAGCGACCATCATCTCAGCTCCAGGCGTAAAGGAGCAGCAGCCACCAGATCCCTTTGCTTTGTGCAAGGTAAGAAGCACCCAACCCAAGCCCAGGGAGGTGGTGGCCACCCCACAGCCCCCTGCAAGGCAACTCTCATGCCCTCCCTGAGCCCCCCCCAACGTGCCCTCTGCCCCAGGCCATACTGAGGTGCCTCTGCAGGAAGGCCAGAGCTGCACGGCTGGTGATGTCCAGACCCTTGTAGGGGTCCAGGGTTCCCCTCGTGCTGAAGAGGCGGCTCATGAGCTTCCCAGTGAGAAAGGTGAAGTCGGTCTGGCTCAGGTGCACGGAGCCCCTGGGACAGGGAAGGGATCTGCTTCAGAGGGAGCAGGGAGAGGTCCTCCTGCTGGGACAGCTCTCAGGTGCTCCCAGGAGGGTACCGGTTGGTGGGTGCCCCCAGCCCTTGACTCACAGGATGGTTATAATCTTCGTCTGGCTGTTTCTGGAGCTCAGTCTCTTCATTTTGGCAACGCTTTCCGGAGTCTGGAACTTCTCAGTGTTGATGAAGAGCACAGGCTTGGGCACCTCTGGGTACAGCACGTTCTCCAGGGGGAACATCCAGGCGTCGAGAGCCACCGCACACCTACAGCAGGACAGACACCCGGTGCTGCCACCCATGCCATGGCTTCTTCCTGTCCCTTCCCTTCCCACCAGGATGAGCCACATGTCCCCAGGGCTTCCTGCAGCTGCTCATCCCTGCTGTCCCTACCTGAAGCTGGGCTCTTTCACCAAGGCCAGCACTGCTGTCACCCCGCCGAAGGAGTGGCCCATGACGGCGACCTTGGTCAGGTCAACGTTGTCCTGCAGAAAGCAGAAGGCTGAGGAGCCTGCGCCCAAACCTCGCTAAGGAGGTCCCTAATTAGGGAAGGAAAGGCTGTGGGAAGAAGACCAGCAAAGCCCTGCTGCTCTGCCCTCTGCATCAACGGGACCAGGCTTCCCCAGCACGGATGGAGGAGAAGAAGGAGAGAGGCACCAAGAGCCGAAACGTGGAAAGCTGCAGCTCTGCGCAGACCTGGCTTCTCCCAGGAGGAAAAGTCTCACACAGCAAGGACTGATCCTGCCAGCAAAGGGCACCCAGACCCCTCATCAGCCAAAGGATCCCCGTGGCAGGTCCTTCAGCACAGACCCAGCTACCTTCAGCACGGCGAGGTCGAAGTCCTGGGGCAGGAGGTTGGGGACGGTCCCACCGCTGGCGATGTCCTGGAAGAGCCGCAGCGCTCGCACGCACTCCTCCGCCCGCTGATGGACCTGGGGGGAGAGGTGCCCCTTCCCCAGTTAACCCAGCTCCTCCACCCCACGACTCTGGGGCCAGACCCTCCAGCCACGCTCATCCCTCAGCCCTGACAGGGCTCTCCCTGAATTACAGCAAACGTCAAAGCCAGTGAGAGGCTGCAGCCCGGGGGCTCCCGCGGGGATGCGCTGAGTTGATCGGAACCGTTTCTGGGTTTTTTTTGGTAGTTTATCATTCAGTTAATCTGAGAGCTCAGGCAGCTGGAGATCAGCACCAGAACTCTGCTCCGGGGAGGTGGGGGAGAGCTCCTGTTCCTCACCAGCTGCCCCCAACCAAGCCTGCCGAAACCATCCACCAGAGCAGACACCCGTGGGGAGCCCAGACCCCCCTCTGCTCTCCTAAGGACACAAATGCTCTTGGCTGCTGCTTAAAGGTCTTCCCCCCAGGTAACAAGTGGCAAAAAATGGATGAAAACCTCTCTCTGCTCCTCCCTGCTCCCTCTAACGCAGCAGATGCCCCAACTGAGGCTGGTGACAATTACTGACCTGGTAACGATTTCTGTGTATAATTTATGTCACATTCACCCTCAACATTTCTGCTCCTGGGTTCATATTTACAGGAAAAGTGTTTCCCTTCTTTGTGCCACGTGCCACGAGACAGAGCATACACAAAAATAAGAGGCTGGGAGGTGATTTAAGACTGCCAAAAGCACCACATTTCCTAGACAGCTTTTCAATGACAAATTTGGCCTCAGTGTTGTCCTTTTAAAAGAGGCAGAAAGGAGCAGGGGGGCTCAGCAGGAGCCCTGCCCGTGCCTCAGCAAGCAGCTGTCCAGCACAATTCCAGAGGGACAGAAAGCAGAGCAGGGGCAAACCCAGCAGCGGGTGCTGAGCCCCCCGGCCCATGGTGCTGGGCTGGGCAGAAAGCCCCTTTCCCCCCAGGGTGCAGGTGACATGAGGACGCAGCAAAGCCCAGCCCAGCTCAGCCAAAGCTGGACAGGACCCCATGAAACAGATGAAGAGGCTGAACAGATTTTTCTCAGCTCAGAAGGAAGAAGCTCAGCACCAGCATCTCAGCAGTACAGGTTTGGGAAGGGCAGGAGAGGAAGAGCCCAAGGATGAGGGGTCAGCTCGATTTGCAGGAGGGATTTCATGCCTCCCAGGTTGCCCACCCTAACCCCCCCCACCTTGGTACCTGCTTGTTTCGGAAATAAAACTCCTTCTGCCCCCGGGGCACCCGCTGGTGGGGGATCCACTCCTCCCTCCCTGCCTGCGCCGTGCAGAAATACGTCGCAGAGGCAGAATGGTCCCTGCAGTGCCAGGAGGGCAGGCAGACGTGTCACAGGGGCACCAGCAGCTCCCCAGGGCACAAAGTCCTGCCAGGCCCATCACAGAATCATAGAATCGTTTGGGT